AAATTAAGACAACGGAACTATAAACCCAACTAACTTCATTACCTTCGTTTCCTGGGGGAAAGACAATATGGTATCTTCCTCCTTTGAACACCACTAACAGTAACAGACACACATGGCCACCTCCTTTACTGAAAATGGTTAGGCACCTTAAAATACTAACAAAAACTGGATTGCTCTCAGTCCTCTACAAGCATAGTCAGAGCCTTTCTTCAGACCACATGGACCAACTCCAATGACACCCATGGGGACTGTCAGAGCTGTACCATCTCCTTGGAAGTTGAAAGAAGTAGTGCCTAGAGAAGCTCCAGGAGTGAACAGGCAATGGGGAATAGGTTCCCTTCTTCCCCTGCCCAGGAAATCTGCCTTTTCCAGGGTTCAAAACTGACCTGGAGGCAGAGTCCTCCTCTGCCCCAGTTGGGATCACACGGAGGGTCTGCAGAACACCCTTGCACAGATCGTGCTGGGTAGCGTGGTGGGCAGAAACCTGCAGGTATGTTCCCTCTGCTGGCTGCAAGGGAGACCCTGGTCCTAACAATTCTTCTCTGGGGACATGCAGAGTGACCCCAGCATCCAGAGCACAACCTGCCTAATAGCTAAAAGGCTAGTATCTGCTGTGTCTGATCCCCAGCTCCTGTCTCCAAGGGCTGAAATCCAATTCACTTCAAACCATCTGGAGCTCATCTCCAAATGAGTAATTACTTCCAGCCTTGTTTAATCCATCTGCACACAGCTCCACACTTTGCCACACTTTGGTCTGCCATGACATGAATCCCTTCTGAGGGCCTACAGCAGGCCAGCATGCGTGTGTATGTGCACGTGCTGAGAGCCTGTGTGGTGGGGCAACTATTTGGAAGCAACATGAGGTATCTCGCTGTCCTGGAAGAGGAACGGCACTGAGGCTCAACTCCACTTGCTGTGAGCTTCCACTGTGACAACCTTTCACAAAGGAGGTGTGTGCCACAGCAGCTCAGGGGTTGCACAAGCCGCACCTCTGACAGCTGTCATTACCTCCCATTTTCTGCCCCTCTGCAGAACTATATGGGGAATAATTCTCATCTCCTGCAAGGAAGATAGAAAGTGGATGCTGAGCCAGAAATCCAGTTTTAATACCCTTCACAGAGTAGCTCTTCCATCTTTTGGATTATTATATTTAAATAAGAAAGAGAAATTTGAAGAATAGTATGAGCATAACATTACATATGATGCTTCAAATCTGTAAGTACTATGAAAGAATACTGCAGTGCCAACATGATCCATACTGTAACATCAATAGGTGGTGAAAAAGGAGAGGAGAAACAATTTTTATAAAGCCCAAGTATCTATCCACAACGGTAATAAAGGTTCTGCAGTTGCTACTGCATCTCCTCATACATGTGTTTTGTTTGCAAACACTGCTGCAAAACCTCTGCGTGGTAACAGCATGTGAGCACAGGTAAGCAACATTTTGTTCAGCAGAGAAATCCAGACTGTGAATATGCTTCAGCCATAAAGATTTTCAATGTACTGGGAAAAAAAAAAAAAAAAGAGTAGCAAATGCACAACCGATCCTGCAGTCCCACCATTAGGCCTTGAATTGTCCCGCCTCTAACCTGTGCATCGCACAATGACTTCGTGTTTCATAAAAAACAATCCAAGCCAAGCATTCGGACAAAATTATCAGTGTTGTTGGATCCTTTATGCACCACCCACCTCTGCAGATCAGCCTGTAACAACGACAAGAGTTTGTGTGTGTGGGTGAACTTAATAGCAGAGGCAATAACCCTGTTACCGTGCTCTCAGAACCCGGCAACTCTCTCACCTGCCCTTAGCCACCACTAAACCATCCGCAGGCTCTGACGACTTGAGGCTGTGACACTGCAGGACGCTGGGGGCCAAGGGAAGCCAGCAGACAAGATGCTCAGCACCTCTTCCAGCTCCTGACTTGCAGTATAGCCTCCTTACATTGCTCTCACCTGGCTACATCTGCTCTCACAGCTGCTCTGCTGGTCTAGATGGGGGAAAAGCAAGCTCTGGTCCTGCCCACTACCCCACCACGGCCATGGGAACAGGTGAAGCTGTGACTGTCTTCATGGCACCAGCAAAGATGCAGGCAGTCTGAATGTAGCCAGACTTGGAGATGAGAATTTATGGCCCAGATCCACAAAAGAACCTGCCTCTCAGCAACTCCAGCAGGAAATAACATCTCAAAACCTCTGTCAATTTAGTTTTAGTTCTCCCCCTTTCCCTTGCACAAAAGCACTATAAGCTAATCCATTAGGTTTCCATCAGATACAAGGTAAGAATAAAATACTGAGGACAGAAAATTCTTGTGATTACTTCCGTTCATGACCTTTTCCTCCCCATCACATCACGCTCTGCTTTGTACTCTTTCTACACTTCCTTTCAGCATAACAGAAAAAACTAGAGAAAGTAATTCCCATGGCACACGGTGTCCTACCTTCTCAACCCCAGCAAGTACCATCAGATGGGCCTTCTGAAACCACAGGTAGCAAGAGCTGCCATTCATCACCAGCAGCGACTCTGGAGTAAGTTTCCCTTCAAAAGCCTGCTGCCAGCTGCACTCCGTTGAGCCAGGAGCTGCCCCGCTGCCAGGGAGGGGGATTCGGGAACCATTCCAGGGGACCGCTCAAATTTCATCCTCTCAAGTACTTCCATAGTTCTTTTCCCTGCACACCCCAGATCTTCATCTGTATTGGCACAACCACTTAAAAACACTGTTTGGGGAGGGTTCTTGCTACTGTAGCTTGACCTCAGCATGGCAGGCGGGCAAGCAAGGGCCACAGTCTAGAGCACATTGCTTGCCCCTCGTTGGTAAGGGGTGACGCTGCTCCATCCACCTTGGCCAAGTATGCAGTGCTTAGCTGCGTCTTGAAACCTTTCAGACAGGCTTTAAAATGGATCTGTTAGTGCAGTTTAGCTGCCAGCATCGATACAGTAGAGCTCTTCTGTGCTGCCTACAATATAACAGGGGCTGGCAGCCTCCCCAAAACACAGCTGGGCCTGGAGATTTCCTCACTGGCCGCAGTGCCTGCGCGTCGGAGCAGAGCTGGAAAAGCAGCAGCAGCTCCACCATGTGCTCCTCTCACATGGACTATCCCCCTCTCTGCATGCACATCCACCCTGCTTTCCCGCTCCTGCCAGGGCTTACTCCAGGCTAACGGCAGATGCGCCCATGGTTCCCTGCAACCGTTTGCTTCTGTTTGTAAACTACTCAGTAATGTCTGCAGAACATACACCACTTAGGACATCTTGCCCAGGGACAGGCATCAGCCATCCAAAAATTTAGGGAAAGCAAAGCTAAAAAGGATGTCACTACAGAACTTCAAAAGGGTACCAGCATCTCTCCCCCCTCCTACCACCCATTCAAAATGCATGAAGAAGCAAGCAAGAGTGGCCCTAACAGAGTGGGTACAATTTACGCTATGCTGCCTCATCTGTTCTTTGCACCAGTTGTTCCTGGAAGGAGATGCCATTGAATTGTTCCTCTCTTCCTCTCTGGAAGAAAGAGAGAGGGCATTTTCTTTTAAAAAAAGCTTGGCTTTTTAGCAAAGGCAACAGGGCTGGATTGTTTTGTACCGGCACTTGCTACCTTCTCATCTTGTGCCCTTCCTGCTGCGCAAGCATGATGCAAGGCATTACATGCTGAAATAATATTTAGGTGTGCAGCTGGGCTCGTTACCGCTGTAATTTGGAAGGTATAACCAGTCATCAGCATTTCAAAATACATTCAATTTTCAATAAAGTGGCAATTTCCACAGGGCAATGACCACAAATGAATGACAGTGTACCCAGGAAGAACGAACAAAGCTGCCCGTCTGTCAAGAATTTGTCTGATGTGTCATCCAAGTCTAATTAAGGGGAAAAATTTATTTTAGAGACAGAAGAGCAAGTCAACTCTCCTACAAAGGTGCCTCCTTTCCTTCGCGTATTAAAAATACTCTCCCTTTGTTTTGAATTACTGATGCACAAGTAGCTTGTGTCACATCGTTCTCCAGAATTAAATGGATGGCTGAAAACTATGAGCCAAATTTATTCTTTACGCACTGGATAAATCTGACTCTAGATGATTTGTGGGTCTTTCAAACCCACCTCAGTCTATCAACTTCCCTCAGATTTTGTGCCTGCAGACACTGAGATGACCCTGACTACAGGCAACTCCCAGCTCTCCAGCGAGGGGCTGCAGTGGCCACATTCTACTCCTCTGCCCCAGGGGCACGGAGCTGCCGCCGGACAACAAGCACTGCCCTTCTCAGCCTGGTGCTGCACCCCTGTAAGCACCCAGCAAGCTGGGCCCCAGTGCCTACCAGACAACATCTCCTAGCAAAATCCAGTTTCTTCCACTTCCGCACTTTCAGCAGAAGAGCAAAAAGCTTTCTCAGTCTTTGGTGAACTGCTTCAATCTGAATAAACTTTTCTACCAGAGGTCTAGTGTCTCAGCATGTCGAGGGATGCAAGGCAGCTCCATGGATGTTGCTTACACCAGCTAAGAGCCTATACAGTATTATGGCCAAAATAATCCATTTTCACTGACTGATCTGACCAATGGCTGAATGTACAATAAAAAGGTATTATGTTTGAATTCAAATATTTCTCTGTAGCTCTGGAAATCTACATACAGTAGCACCATGTTTGTGTGGGAGAGTGAGAAAGCCAAGACTGTTAATAAAACAGAAGTTGTGCTGTCTACAGAACTTGTTTTGCAAAGATGAGTGAAGTCAGAAGGAACAATAAAAACAGTACATTTTTCAAGAACATCGATTTCAGGGGGGTAGTTTTTGCCAGTTTAATAATCAAAGATACCACCAACACATATAAATAGACTGTGGGACTGAGAGCTGTATTTAAACTGGTAATGCTCCACAAGGTAAATATATCTAAGCGCATTTATCTCTTCTCAGAGCAGACATGTAAAAGCATTGGCCTCCATCATGCTGTTGTCCATTATCAGGTCTACATGCAGGCCCAGAAAGACTATGTAGTACATGTATAAATATACATACCCGACTTGGGTACAGTCTCGATATGGCAGCACTGAAAATATGCTACAGAAGGATCTTCTGCTGCTGATAAGGACTATTCTAAAATATAAAAGAAAATAAAAGAAATCAAAGACTAAAATTTTAAAATCCCACCACAATAAGCAAAGCAACAGACGTTACCACTGAGGAATTAGTAATCATAAAACTTCCATCACGGATGATTTCTCCCTCCTCTTTTTTACCTCACAGGTAAGGTATCACACTACTGAGTCTTTACAAAAGTGCTGAAGCCTGTGCAATACATCACACAGTGAATGAGTAGTGGAGGCTCATCCCCTCTACAGGCCTTCTAGGAAGACTACCTCAAATACCTTACTTGGAATCCAGGATAGATGTTCTTTCTAGTGAAAGGCGTCCACCCAGAGAGGCAAGAAGTCGTTCTGACAATGCACCACTATGGCTGAAACTAAACAGACAAATCCAGCAGCAACCCGGGTGACACACACCAACAACTACCTGCGATACACACCACGACTCTCTGGCTGCCTTGGGGTTTGCCTTTATCGGACAAGAATTTCCAGCGGCTTGTCATGACCTTTCTCTGCTAAACTCCCTTGATTTTCAGCTTCCTGTCCCTGAAATAGCCTGATTTATGGATGTGCTGGGTTCAGCCAGGAA